CCAGTACATGATGTTCCACCACATGTCGTTCTTCAGGATAGTGCTGGAGTCCACTCCCACGGTCTAAGATGACTCCTCTGTCTCCCTTTCGGCTTCCATAGCCTGAGGCATTGCTGCAATGGGGGGGGGGGGGGGGAAGAGGCTCCTCTTACACTGTGTCCAGAGACTTCCCTCCCAGGTCATTCTGGCCTTTTCACTCTTGATTCCTGTTTGTCTGTGGACATACTTCCTTCATTTTTCCGTCTAGAAGGATTGGGTCCTGCTTCTTGTGGATGTCTAGGGTGACTGATGTCAGGTCTATCATGAAGACTCACTGCTCTTTGATCTCGTTCCCCTTGTGCCTCTCGCCTGTCAGAGTCTCATTTCTTCTGGAATCACTGAAATTTTTTGGATACCTTTCAAAGCTTGGATCTTTTCTTCGAGCAGTAGGTCTCGTTTTTTTCCCTTCACTTTGACCAACAAAGCGTTCCCGTCTTTCAAAAGATGAAGACTGCATTGCTGAAGTGTCAGGAAACCTGGCCGTCTCTCGGTGGTCAGTCATTGAACCTGTTCTGTTGGCGATAGTCAGATCCATGGCTGAATTGTGCATCTGTATCTAGAGATAACTTTTTATTCTCGCTCCAGTAAGGATCATCTTGCCTATGATCTACATCATGTGGGTGTTTCAAAGAATTCCTTTTCTTCTTGTTCATAACGCAGTTGCTGTTGTTGCCTTCTGAGTTCCTCTTGTTCTCAAGCAATCCGTTCACAGCTTTCTTACGACATTCCCGTTCAATACGAATGCGTCCCCTTTCCAAGCGTTCACGCTCCAGATTTTGCCTTTCAATTTCTAGGCTCTCTCCCTCTCTCTCTCAGTAAGTGTTCCCGTTCTTCCCGTTCATGAATTATTCTGTGTTCACGCTCTCGACTCTCTCTTTCTGCAATCTCTTCCTCTTCGAAGTTCCATGGCTCGTCTCAGTCTTTCAAAACGAACTAAATGTTCTCTCAGTCTTTGTTCTTTCATCTTTTGAAAAGGCAAGATCTCTTTCCTTCTGTAGCCTTTGTCCCTTTTTTTGTCCAGGCTAGCCCTCTCCATGAACTTTCCCCTATCCTCTTTTTGATGGCCTACGGTGATCTCCCTTGGTTTGGTCTAGTATTACCATATGTCCTGGCCTCTTTGAACTTAGGCGTTTCTTCTCTTCACTTTCTTTCTTGATTCTGACAGCTGGCCACTGGTTCCATTATCACTCTCCTCATCTTTTTGAGCTTTCTTGGCACCCTTGCTTTCCTTTATCTCAGACTTCTCAGATGACCTTTTCTCTTCTTTTTTGATAGACACTTGTGTCTCGCCACTTCTATCACTCGTAGTTTTTTTTTTTTTTATCTCCAGAACTTCATGGACTACTCTTCATCATTTTCTTTTTTCATTTCTTTCTTAGGGGGATCACCTTTGACTTTTTCTGCAGAAATCAGTTGTCCATGTAGCTCTGTGCGATGAAGATATGCAACACATCTGGACACTTCTGTGCTTGAAGACATAGTTACAATGCCATAGCATTTTGCCGCAGGACTTCGAGCATTTGTTACTACCTTTGCACTTAAAACCTTTCCATATTGCCGAAGAGGTTTTTCAAATCAGCAGCTTTGGTGTTAGAAGAGAGTCCACTGACCCAGGTGTTCTTAGTCGAGCTCCCACTAGTGCTACTTGTGCTTCTTGTCATCTTTAGATGGTGTCTTGCTGTCTTTAGATTCCTTTGAAGAGCTCTTTGCCTGACCAGAGGCCCCAGTAGACGAGGGCCCTTTCTTCAAAGTATCCTTTTCTTTGTCTCCAGATTCTGCTTTCTTAGAGTTTTCTCTGGCATCCTTCCCGACAAGGATCACCCTTCACGGAGTCTTCCTTCTTACCGTCTTTATGGTTCGTATTCATCTCGGCTCTGTGCAATGGCGTCCAGCCATCTTTTGGCTTACTTGCTTCAGAATCTGTAATTTTCACATTTTTACCTGTTTCTAGGAGGTCATCACCATCAAAATGCAGATCGATGGCATCTTCAGCCTGGATTGTGCCCCGGATATTACCATCTCAGCTTCTTTCACAGTCGCATTAGCTTCCGTCTGTCCGTGGGCTGTGTGGTCAGCCTCAGCTAGGTGCCCTTCTGAAGAGGTTGATACTCCGTGTGTGCCATCACCAGAGCCCGCTCTATCTTCCTCGTCGTCTTCTACCTCATCATCTTGAGCTCTTAGAAAGGTCTCATCTTCACCTTCTTGAGCTTCAATTTCCTGACTTTGGATGTCCTCTTTTTCTCTCTTCTGCTGCTTCTGCCTCTGTTAATTCATGCGTTTTCTTGTTCTCCTCTGCAGAAAGTGACTCCGGGGAATGCACATTTTCATCTTCATTTTCACCAAATTCTTCAAGTCCTTTAGCTCGTCATTTCCTTCTTGTTCATATGTGTCTTGATTCTCCAATTCACAGTCCTTGACAAAAGCATCATCTTCCACAGAAGCATCTCCACGCAGCTAATCTGCCTCTTGTTTTTTACCCTTGCCTGTGGTTGGTTTCTTGTTTGGAGTATCAGTTGGAACAGTTAATTCAGTGTTATCTGGATCGCCTCCTTCCCCTTCAATAGCCTGCTTGAGTCGGGAGACCAGCACCGCCTTCCCTCCGTTGATGTCCAGATTCCGGCGCTTCAGCTCGGACCTGAGATCGATGACCCGCAGCCCGGTGATCTTCTCTTCAGCCCGACCTGAGGCAGCGGCAGCGGCAGCCATCTTGGGAGAGCAGCGCTGTCCAGGCCGTGAGCTGCCGGGCGGTGGAGGCGGCGGTCGAAGCGCCCACCTCCCACGGGGACCTAGGCGGCCTGCGGCGCTGCACCCAGTTCTAGTTTTTTTTTTTAGAGATAATGTGTGAACATAATTTTTCTTGGGGGGGGGGGAGCTTTCTTTATAGTGTTGGCTTTTGGTTACCAAGGTAATAATTGAAAGCCGCTTACATATTTGTGGTTTAGGCATGATAACCAATACTTTTCTGAACACCACACTCGATTTTGTATCCTGATCTGTTTCCAGGTTATATTTTACCACTTGTTTTGTCTGTTGATTATTACTTTTTTATATCATCCATTATCATCTTCCGGGCTGCTCAGCTTACTATTCTTTTTTAAAGGCGTGTTTAATACGGTTTGTCTCTTCTGTGGTTGTACATCTCTAGGAAAAATCGCTTGTGCTTTATATTGGGTGGTTCTTTTTTTTAATCCATCGAGTTGAGTGACTTCTACACAGTAGGCACTATGTAGACACTGGGATTACAGTAGCGAATTCTAGCTATCTAAGGCTCTAGATCTACAAAGGAAAATAGAACACCTACTGTTATAATACCTGGGGTGGTTTATTATGCCCATCTTATTGATGAGGAAATGGAAAGAAAAGGTGATTTGGCCTGATCACACAGGTAAGCTGTTAGGAAGTTGCAGACTCAGGATTCAAAACTTTCTCAGTCCTTAAAACTTGTTCATTTTCAATACATCAAACTCCTTCAGGCACTTCAGATTACATGTTATTGCCCTTAGGCTACAAACTCTATTCAAGTATTATTTTAATAGAAAAGTGTAATATATTTAACTTAGAGGACTAGATTACAATTCCAATTTAAAAAATTTGGATAAGAAGCGCTTATAAAATAGGCTCAATATCAGTCTACCTTACACATACACACACACATTCATATACACATATGAAACATATATATGTC